AAACGGTTATTTTAGATGTTGCATTATTTTTCCACCCTGTTGAAAAGAGCTGTGACAATTAGAGCAGAAAACTGAATTTAAATATTTTATAAATTGCTTGCAAATGAACAGAAATCATATTTATAACAATAAAACTAAGTTTTAAATTATACATATTGTCTTGATCTAGTAGCATAATTGCAACAATAGTGAATATTAGGAATGCAAACAAATAATCAGAATTAAATTTACATTTACTCAATTTTATTTGAGTAACTTTTTTGAAAAAAATTATTTTTTCTACGCTGTACTCTTTACTTCTGAGCAATTTTACTATGAAGTATTTATTCTCTTAGTTGAGTGAAATTTCTGGATTTTCTACCCACTGACTGAAAAACAAACATGTTCCAACCAGAATTCACCAGATTTTACTTTTATGTTTGTTGCTGTTATATGAATTATTGACATTTTGGTCCTTAAAATACCCAACTTTCTATCTAAATTCTGATCCGTCTGATTATGTAATTTTAAAATATTAAATCATTGATAATTTGATCAGTTACTCAGTACTTGAGTAGACGTTTTACCAAATACTTTTTTCTTAACTGATCAACAACATTCTCGAATTTCAATTCCCTATTAAAACCTAATTCCATTTTCTTCTTTTATTTCCAATTTTGACTTCCAATGATTCACTTCCTGCTAAAGAGCCCCCTGGTGGTTGAAGAAAAATTCACATATACGCCGCACCTGGCTATAAGCCGTATGGTTCAAAGCGTAGGAAAAAAGTAGCGGCTTATTGTCCGGAAAATACAGTATATGAAAATAAATCTAAATGCTCTCTGGTATTGTTGTGGGGGCCGGACCAAATGTGGAGGCGGGCCGGATCCGGCCCGCGGGCCGTAGTTTGAGGACCACTGGTTTAGATGCAACAAGAAGCTAACCTAAAAGGTTCCGGTTTTGTTATATTTTCTAAATATAACAAAATTTTTAATAACATAAAAAAATACCATTTGTGTTGATTCAGTCAGCATTTAATGAAGTTGAGAAATTTTTTTTTAAATATATAAATTCTGCATACTATGAAAATATAGCCTTTCATGTGTTGAAAAAACCGTTCATAGAAGAGAAAAATCAAGATTTTAAGAAACTAGCTACTTATCAACTAATCATTAACTAATTAATCAAAAAGTTGCATCTCCATTAAATATATTCCGTAGTACAGCCATCAGTGACAACACAGCTTTTATCTCACCTCAGCATGCTAAATGCTTGGAACTGAAAACGAAACTGACAACATGACCGTCTTTCTAGTTATTTTATGTATTAATTGTAATTCACTCATAGAGAACTGAAACGTATTTACAAAATACACATTTGAAGCCTTAAAAATATTTTTAAAATTAAGATGGTGACTAGAAAAAGTGACGTACCTGGTCCTGACACAGCAGAACATTGTGAATTTCACACTTTTAATGTCACTATTCCAGACATCTTGATTTAAAACACAAAAGTTTAACAGAAAAATAGAAAACAGTGTGATCTGTTTAATTGGTGCAAGTTTGAATGATACATTTCTTGATTAAATATAATTTTTGATTAGATTCTTGTAGATTAGTGGTCATATTTTTTTGTTTTGTTTAGCTAAACAATGGTGAATAATCTAAACCAATCTTGACAAATATACAGAAATGTGAAGATTATTTTTTCAATATGTGCCTGGAAAATGATTCAGCCTACAGATATGTTTTATTCAAAGAATTAAAAGATTTATTCACATTAACATAATAGTGTATAACCGCAATATTGTTAAATCGTGTTTAATTCATATGATTTCTCCTTCTGGTTGTTTTTCTTTCTAAACACCTACTTACTTACCACATGCCGGACAGTAAGTAAGTAGGTGTTTAGTTCCTAAAAAACATCTCACCACCCCCACAAACACATTAAAAATGGAAACACAAATTAAAAGCGCCTCGTTATGCAACCAAACTGTCAAGTTGTGATTATTTGAACAAAAGTTTCTCAGTTCTATGTGGGAGGTGGAGAACATTAATAAAAGCTTTTTGTGAGACTGAAACTTATGTTGAGGAAGCTTTTCTTGTGTTTTCTCTCAGATATGTTGTTTTTATCTCTCTTTGCAAAACATGAAGTTTAGTTGAAGAGAATAAAACCCTTTATTCTGGCATTTCTTTTAACTTTGTGTTTGACTTTTTGTTAGAAATGCAAATGATTCTGACACAAACAAGCACTTCCTGCTTTTTCAAATTGTTTAGATTTGATTTGAATGTTTTATAAGAGATGTTTTATTTATTTATTAAAATTACATTTTAAGGGCAAATTAGCATGTCCAGTTCCTGGTTAGGATTTCAGAAGTTAAGCTTTAAAACTGATAATATAAAGAAATTAACAGTAAAATTAAACAGCAGCATGATCAACAGTAAATAAATTAAATGATTACAAATTGTAAAGTTTAAATTTAGAGGAACATGTAAGTAAAATGCCAGTAATAGTCACCATTGTTGTTAATTACAATCTGATGATATCAGTTTAAAATCTGAGCCCAGCTCGTTACCTAGCAACCCCTGTAATCAGGGGGTTGTACTGCTGTATGTGCTGTACTATGGCTGCTGGAAAAGGCAAGTGTTTTGTTGTTCACCATAAACTACTTGCTGCATTCTTGTTGGTTGTGCAGAAGGCTCCACTTATGCTTTTCAGAGATGTACAGTTGTATAATTGCGCATCCGTTTGCAGCCAGCAGCAGTTTATTTGGATTTAAAGTGAAAGACGCCCTAAAAAAGCTCAAAATAGGCAAAACTGACCAGACTAAAATCTCATTATCTAAGAGTAATTTTGTGCAAAACATGTGATGAACAAGTTTGGTGTAGACCACAGACCTGTCCTAACCTGCTTAAGGAAACCTAATAGGTCACCTTTAAGACATTCAGGAAAGGAAAGAGGGATCATAAAGGGTTTTTAACCACCAATGTTGACAGGATTTTATTTGCATTTTGCGTTTAAAAGAGGGACAAAAAAGAAAATAAGCGTAAAACAGAAAATACCGTTGGAAATAAAAGTAACAAAATTATGATGCACCAATATAATTGCCATCCTTTCACATGCGAATGCTTGGTTTGAAAAAAAAAATATGTAATTGCATGGGATTCTTCAAAGACATAAGGATGAAGATTACATTTAGTTCCTGTAAGTGTTTTTAAAACAATTCTGAATTTTTTTACACATTAAAGTTCCATGTTCTTTGATGCATTTATTATCCTCAGACAAACTTGTACCATTAACCATCTGAAAATGTGTTTAAAAGTTTTACTATGACTGTATTTTGTGACATTTGTAGCTTATTTTTAGAGTAAGGAACTAAAATATTTTGTAACTCAGTGCTGACCAAACCCAGAGCTGACGGATGCCAATCACTGGCTGTCACGCTAGTTACTTTGTTAACCTCTTCTGCCCTCGGCTGGCCTCATGATCTCAGCCATTAGTGTTTGGCTTCCCTTTCCTGTCCAGCGTTTGTGAGGCTGCCAGTTGATGCTTGTCCCACTGCTTTAATGGTATCCTGCAGAGAAGACCCTGGGCAGCAAACACATCCTATTAAACAGTGGTGAGTTCACAATAACCTAATGAGCACCGAAGAAGTGCTTTGATTCCTCTTCCAAGATGGAAACACTTAAACCTTATGTTAAAAGATGACCCACTATGCTTCCTTGAACAGGTTGGGATTGGTCTATAAGTGATACAAAACATGTTCATTACATTTTTTTGGACAAAATTATGATTTTAGTTGGTTCAGTTTGAGGTCCTTCCAGAATGAGCCGTTTTAGGGCGTCTTGTCACTTTAAATCCAAATAAGCTGCTGCTGGCTGCGCCCCCCCAACTCAACATTTACACTCACATGTGAAAACAGATGAAAACAGATGCGCAATTACAAAACCGGCGCTCTTTGAAAAGCATTAACAGAGCATCCTGCACAACCAACAACAATACAGCAAGTGGTTTCTGGATGGTAAGTCAACAACAAAACACTTATTTTTTCCAGCAGCCACTGTACAGCACATACAATGGCAAACTGAAAAAACGTGCTGGAATTCAGCTTGGGTTGCTAGGTAACAAAAGAAATTCAACTTGGGTTGCTAGGCAACGAGCGGAACTTGGCCAAGGTTGCTAGGTAACGACGGAATTCAGCTTGGGTTGCTAGGTAACGGGCAGTCCCTGCTGTTTTGTGACATTCTTTTCTGAAGGTTTTTGAAACTGATCGTTTTCAAGATATGAAAAAACTTTAACTTATTGCCAAAAAGTGGCTGGGTGTTTTTAAATACAGTTTTATAAGAGCTTAAGAGGCAGTTGAGACCTAAATGGAAGCACAAAAACTACCAAAGTGTGACTTTTGCCTAATATCCCCTCTTTAAAGAAGGGTCAGATGATAAAACAGTATCTCAGCATATCATTTTTCACCTGTCCTGTTTTATGGTTATGCTCTTTTTCTTAATTTGCTATGTATGTAAGTCTTGTCCTTTTATGGTTTTGTTTGATGTTCTGTTTGTAATTTTACATGATCCCTGTAAAGTGGTTTAGAGTGTTTACAAAAGCACTATGCAAATAAAAGGTATTATAATTATCATTATAATACAGATATAAAACCAGCTTGAACTCAGTTCACAGTGCTAACAGGCAGTAGGAACCCAAATGGAAGGACAAAAACATGCAAAAGGTAAATTTTGCATTATTTTCCTTTTAACAGAGTCAAATTTGGAAATAAATCTGGTTATGTGCAGTTTTTCTTAGTAAGTTATCAAAAATAGAGACAAAAACATGAGAACACCCCTGCTTTGTTGTAAAAATCACTCAAATTGTAAAGGTACGTTTCACCAACTTTTAGCAACTTATCAAAATGACGTCTCTAAAACAGATTATTATTCGCATAATAACGGCCGCCTTGGAGGTCTAACAATGTGAGAGAAAGAGGGAGAAGAAAAGAGAGAGAAAGTATGTCAAAGGTTTCCCGTTCTTACCCTCTGTGGTCACCATCTGTCTGGCTCCGGCTAGAGCACAGACGGACGCTCGCTAAGCTCAAACAGGCAAGTCATCTGAGGACAGCTCACCATCGCCGGGACGAGGGGAGCGAAAATGAGGGCAGCTGAAGATGTGAGCTTAAATAAGATGACGTGTGTCCTCTATTCTAAATAATAACATAATTAGAAAGATGACAGAACAAATGAAATATCCGCATGAGGAGTTTTAGGAAATTTGTTTTGAAGATAAGTGAGAGAGAAACAAAATGGCACTCAATCTAAATACACTTTTTAAAATTGTGTCAGAAAAAAACATAAAAATGGATGAATTCTGGAAGGATTTCAGGTGCAAAGAGGTGCAATAACACAAAATCCTTAAAAGTAGTTTTAGTACACTTTAAATACTTATAAGTAACTTTCAGCAAGATGTAGTAATATAATCTTATAGTAATATAATAATGTAATATAGTTACAATAACTAGTAACTATATTACTAGTTATTAATATAAAATAACTAGTAGTTATTTTATATTAATTAAAATAAGTACTAGTTCCACTGGTAGATTATTTCACTTGTAACACATTTTATAAGTGAATTAATCTGGACAGTGGAACTAGTACTTTTTTATTAATATTAACGAATTATCAGTTAATGAATCAATAAGTTTATTCACTCAACAAAACAATTTTCATCACCAATGTACAAAAATATTGTCTTGTAACATTTCATCTACATGAGTGGAAGGGAGCAGGAAAAAGAAAAAATTATAAAAATTTGATTGATTGTGGAATTATTGACTTAAAACAAGAAAACCAGCTCCTACAAGTTACTTATTAGTTTTGTTTTATTTCAAATGTACTAAGATATTGGCACTACAAGCTAAACCAAAGATACTGGGTAAGATTTTGTGTTTTTGAAGAATGAAAAACAGTTTTTCTGCCTGGTTTGTCTTTTATTTATTCATTCATCTTCACTTCAGCTGTTCCTGTCAAAGGATCCCCTTACATGATGCTGCCACCACCATGTTCTGATATAGTTCACACTGGCGGAGCATTTACTAATAAGTTACTTTCTAAAGTAAGCTGCAGTGGATTTTATTTTGGGTAAATAAACCAATGTTTCCTGCAGGATCTGTAGTCACTTCTTTCCTTTTTGATTAATTTATCACCAATATTGGATAGGAAATGAGGGTCTCTGTGAGAGACTCTGTAAACATTTATTCAGACAAACTGTTCTGTTAACTTGGCAAAACAGATGTTTTATATATCAGGTTTTATTTATATCAGAGGCTACTAAAACATATTTTTACTCAAGTAAAAAGTTTTTGTTGAAAAGGCAACTCAAGTTTTGACTAACTGATTTAATATTTAAAAATTACATCATTAACTGAACCACAATATATAGATGCTGTGGAAATTCTGGTGTTTTAAAGACCAACATGAAAATGATTTATACAAATAAAATAATTACTAAATAAAATTAGGCAAAAAGAAACAGTTTTCCAAATGAAACTTAAAACTTTAATATTTAAAAATGACATGATAAGACGGACCAAGAAGTGGAAATTTTGGTATTTTAAGAATGAAAAATGCCATAATTAACATAAGTAACAGCAAGTAAAATTAGGTAAAAGAAATTTATCAAAATCTGTTTCTTTCACTAAAAAACTTATGAAACTTTAACAAAAACTGCAGGTCTGTGTCTGGTGAACTTTTGGTTAAAACATGTTTGTTTTTCATTTAGTGGAGCTATCCAGAAATTTTACTCAAACAAGAGTATAAATACTTCATAAAAACATTACTCAAGTAAAAGTAAAAAGTATTTTTTTTAAATAAAGTTACTATCAAACTGTTTTTTGTGGACAGGTCCGATTACAGCGCACAAAACCCAAAGTAATTTCATGTTTTTCTCTGGATTCAGTTTGATACCTGTGACAAGAAGGCCATGAATCCTGCAGAAAAGCGTTCAGTAACTCGACCCGTCATGGCAGCTTTTGTCCGTTCTTAAACTTTCCCACCATCTTTCCAAGAGATTACTGGTCTTGATGAAGTGGAAATTGTAAATCTGCTTGAACAAATGAAGAACAGACTTTCAGAGCAGTAAAAGCAGTAAATTTCTGAGCATGTGCAGGTTCTGAATAAAATCAGGGCTTTAAAAACTGATTCTATTCAAACTGTAGAGGATATAGAAAACATTACACACCTCATTTCAAATGCTGAGTTTTTGTAATGCAAACAATGCAACTCAAATGAAAATCTGAGGATAACAGATTAGAAAACTTTCTCTGTTCTGATGAGTCTCGGTTTGAGATGCAGTATTCACATGCTGGACCAGAAATTAGTGTAAACAACATAAAAACATGGATCCATCCCAGTTTTCATCAATATTTTAGCCTGGCAGTGGGGGTGTAATGTTGAGGGGAATACTGTCTTCACATCCTCTTCTTTCTATAATTATAGTGAATCTGATTAACCTAAAATTAGGTCAAATTGTTTTGTTTTGTTTTTTTTTGTTTTTTTTACATTTTCTCATTTGAAACCTTTCGCTAAAACTACTTTGCAGACAGGTAAAAAAATGATTATGCAAACATATCTTTCTGGAGAAGATTACTATGACAGAAAATTAAGCCATTGTAGATAGAAAAAGAGAGAGAAGTAGTTTCTGCAAAAAACTTTCTAGAAAAAACGTAGAAATTTCTGTTTGAAAAGTTAAGATCTTGGTAGAAAAAAAATCTGAAATTTTGAGATAAATCTCAGAAATCTTGAATAAACATGAAGATTTCTGAGTTTGAGTGTGAAAAAAATTAGAAGAGAAAAATGCAGAAATTTTTAGATTACTCAGAAATTTTCTAGAAAAAAAATATTTTCTGATTTCAAAAAGTCTAAATATTTGCAAGATTTTTTTTTTTTAGATTAGTCTGAACATTTCATGGACATTTCTCCCTCTACCGCATTTGTTTTGGTTGTGTTTACCCAGAATGCCTTTCGCCGTAGTCCATTTCCTGGTTTTGGAGCGGTCTCTGGTCCTCTTGGCTAGCTGCACTCGAACGTCGCCAGTTCACTTCAGCCGAACCGAGACTGAAGCTTGTAGAGTAAAACCGACACAGAGAGCGAGGAAAAGTAGAATATTAGTGGGTTGTTTTTCACCCGTTTATCAGCATTAGTTTCCCTTTGCTGTGGCGCTCTACAGCTAATATTTAAACCTTCAATAAACAACTGGACTAATTGTCTCGTTAGTTCGTAGAACATGGCAAAATTCATAATAATCAAACAGGATGAAATATTTCATGAAGTATAGGAGCCATGGTTTGTTAAATTTTAATCTAATTTTAACAGAGGCATATTGGTCCATAATATTAAATTACTGACCATTATAAAAGAGAAATTGCTTAGTCCTCTCTTGCATCTTGACAAGATCCAA